CCACCACCCGAGGCACAAGCCGCACCACCATTTGTGCGGCTACGAGCACAGAGCTGGACCCACAGCGGGCGCCAGCAGCCACGACATTACAGTAGGCAGACATGCTGCTGAACCTGCTGCAGGGCAACCTGCCTCGAGTGGATCGGGTAGTTCGGATGACCACATCCGACTGCCGCAGGTCAGTCAGACGTGGCCGACAGCAAGGAGGATATCCACCTCCACCGCCACTTGCGGGTAACCCTGCTGTGCGCCCGCGACTTCCAGACTGGTCAAGGTACGACGTACACTTTACTTTACCCAACTTACGGAGCCTTGATCCAAGTGTGGTGACGCGCGAGCTGCGGAAGCTACAGTTGCGTTGGTTCCATGCGAAGGAGCCCCAGATGACCAAGGTAAGGTCTGGAGCGCGTCAGACTCAACCAGATCCAAGTTGTCTGCGACACGCGTCGGGAGTATAGGGCTTGGGGCAAGCCTGGGCATACGGCTATGTTATCCACTGCGCTGCCTGGCAAGTTCAACGAAGAAGTTGAATGTGACCTCATTTTCTACAAAGAAGAACATAAGACATTCCAGTTCATCGATCGTGGTATTCGCTATGATACTGGAGTGGAGATACACCGGACAAGACAATGACCAGTATCCTGGATGCGTGCCATCGGTGCTGGATGCAGTTTGCACCTGCAAAGGTACTCTACACCGATGGAGACGGTGCCCTCAACAACGACACTGCGAAAGCAGTCCTTAAGGCAAAGGGTGCTGAACTAAGGATACGCGCGCGTGGACAACGCGCGACCGCGATCGAGGCTAGAAATGGCATGCTGAGCCATCTACTTCATGTCGCGGAAGCTGAACTCAGTAGGTTAGACATACCTGTGGTGTTCACATGACTACTGCATGAAGCTTTCTTTGCCGTCAATGCGTTCACCTTGGCTACCGATGTGTCTCCATGCAACGCCCTGTTTCGACGGCAACCGGCAATGCTCCCTGACTTGCCTATCCGGGATCACGAGCAGCCGACGGAAACGTCGGATCATTCTCGTGAACAGATGATACGCAAGGCATGCATGGGAGCTACCACGCAGGTCGCTGCAGTCGCCAAGACCAATCGAGCATTACGCACTAAGACAACTATGGCCAGTCAGCACTACTACGACGAGGGAAATTTAGTTGATTACCAGCGCCCCGCAACCACGAAGGACGACTGGGGAGGCTGGAATGGCCCGTTCCCGGTCGTAAGAATCGATCCCGACAGGGGTCAAGTCATCATTCGAGCTGGAAGCCGCGACGTACAGGCACAATACGGCGATGCACGACTTTCACTTTCTATAGAAGTTTTGATAGCCAGAGAGATTGGCTCCGACAACACTGCGCTGCGGACAGTGTTGACGCGCGTGGCCAGTCTACCTGCGGGGAGACCTGCTGCGACATTTGGCTGTGTCCCGACCAGGAAGGGGGCGCTGCAGATGACAAGCGCAAGCCGACTAACTCCTGAGGTATATCTGGCTTTACAATACCTCATCAGAAACTCCTTCCGCATCGAGAATGTAGTTTGTGTTAGGTTAGCCAAGAGTATCCACAAGCTAAGTCCGGTGGCTTACGCTGACAGCTGCACGTTGGTCCACTATGGCAACGAGGTGAATCCAGGATTTCGCTATTATGAAGCAGAAGGCGCCGCTCGTAACATTCACGATTTACTTGGATCAGCACATTCAAGTATCACCCAGTGCCTGAAGTCCACCAGACCTCAGGCGGGCGTCGACCAGGAAATTACAAAGTTTGAGGAATTCGCGTCGCGGATATACCGACACAGGACGGAAACGCAAGTGAAGCCCCAGAAGCCGAACCACCACAGGAGGATGGACAGCTTCCCACGATATATGAGGAATCGGAGGCTGCCCTCGAGGCCCATATCATGGAAGTGCGGCATGCAGAACTACCAGATGTCCGGAAAGTGCTGGAGGCGACTCCACTAGAGGACCTTTTTCACACTTTCCGCATAGATGATTTCAGACAGCTGTGTGCTGATCGCTGTAGCTGAAGGACAGCGGGGGCACCTGCCTAAGTGGGGGCGCCCACGCGACTCCGACATCGAGGAGACGAATCATGTCCCATTGTGCCCCGCGGTCGAAGATTGCAGTTACGGGCTGGACTCATGCGAAAACGAGCAATATGTAGAACTCTGCTTTACGGCAGAAATGTCAAAGGTAGTCCTATCCGAACGACAGCACAGGATATTAGATGCCGACCGTGTTACCACCATGCGAATATTTATAGTTGTGTGTATGTATGTCTGTATATGCATATATATACACACACATATATATATACATATATATGTATGCGCCGCTGCACAGCGAGCTTCGGTCGTCAAAGAAGACGACCTTCTCGCGAAGGTTGACATCCAGGCGAATCCCGAGAAAGTATCCAAAGCCCCGTGCACTGAACCCAAGACATGGTTTGACAACGGGTGTTTCAAACTGCAAGATATATCTAATGCGTCAAGCATCATGACTTCGAGGTACGTGTACACATGGAAGTTCGCGAAGGACGAGAAGGGCGAGATGGAACGTACCATCAGATTGCGCCCAGTGTTTCGAGGCTGCATGGACCTCGAAACCTTCGACGTGGAAGCCCTCTCAGGAACGGCGCGGCGGCCAAGCCAGAGACTACTCGCGAGCGCGGCAGCGTGCAATTAGCAATGCAGCATTGCTTCCCTCGACATCGACATGGCCTCCCTGACAGGGTTGACCTACCGGGAACCTGCTGAGGCAACTGGTGAGATATCGCGTGGTGTGCTCTACTCTGCCGCCTGGATCGGCTGCGGTTCTTCGAGCCCCTCCCTGGGTTCGAGCGCCGCGACGAGTCGAAGCGCTGCTTGCAGCGCCTCAAGCCAGTCACTGGCACCAAGGACGCACCTCGAGCTGTCTCACTCAAGCCCACGTCCTACGACGAGGAGTTCGAGACGAGCTGCAAACGGCCCGCGGCCAAACACGTTGATGCCTCAATATGGCCGGCACAGAGGACACCATTGACAAGTCTGTCCAGTGCGTGGAGGACACGTTTGACAAGTGTAAACTCAACAATTACACGCGAACCAATTGCGCTGTGAGATATACCAAGGATGAGCGCGGCATTGCTACGTTGGACCAAGACGAATACACCAAACAGCTCCGTCCTATACAACATCCTGAGTTTACAGGCGCCGACGCTGACGCCCAAGCCTCCAAGATGGTTGCAGACATGCCCGTCAGCCTCAGAGGCGCATTGGCGCATGCATTAATCACCCAGGCGCGGTTGATGGCACATGCTGTCTCCTTGCATCGCGCCCAGGGGCCGGCCGACATGCAGGTGCGACGACTGAGCGCGATTGCCAGGAAACTGCAGGCCTGCCCCAAGAAGATCGTCTACCAAGCGATGACTCCCACGGGCGAAGTTGACCTGCACGGCGACTCAGGTTATCGACGCTTGAGTGGATATTCCGATGCCGAAGTCAAAGGCCATGGTTCTCGCGGGGCAAACCTGCTACGGCGCGGAAGCACGCCATCTGGCAAGCCTGTCGCTCTTTTGATCGACGCGTTGCAAGTCTCACCGCTCGCAGGTCCGCTCGAGCTATTCAGCAGAGACACTCGCAGCAGCCCACAACTTGGAGGACTGCTGTCCCACGATCGTGACTCTGCGCGAGCTCCACGCAGGGCCGTTAATTCCGACTCATGTGAAAGACATACTTGAGTTGGGTGGCCGGATCATCGAGGTCTCTCTGAGCATCTGTGTTGAGTCCGTTTTAAGTCTTTGTCGAGCAAAAGCTTGAAGAAGCCGACTGAGTGTACACTTCTAGGACACATTAGCTGGATACGACAGATGGTGGAGCGAGGAATCGTGCACAGTATCCAATGGTGTGACACCCGCGATATGACCACGGACGGTCACACAAAGGGGGGCATCGACAGATAAATGCTCCTACAGGGCATGGGAGGTACGCAGTGCTTCAAACATGATTTAAAGCGTTATACTCCTTATCGGGCTGGCCAGACATCTCGGTCTGCAGCCGCTTGAGGAATACTCGAATGCACAGTAAGGTAGAGGCGAGGCAACGTGCGCGCGGGGCCACCTTCCTTATGGCCCGCCTTTTTTGCGACCCTTTTGTACAGAGTAGCTGCTGTGCCTGCTGTATAGAGGCGGCGGACTCACGTTTCGTTCCCCCCCCCCCCCTCCCCCCCGAATCTACAGTGAGCTGGGGACACAGGTGAGTGGAAGCGAACGTGTGCCCGCGGCCGCTTCGCTCAATGCCGCCGACCGCCCAAGTCTGACTACACCTCAGTGCGAGGTGTACCTTTCAAAATCGAGACCGAAGACATCCTTCGCTTGAGATGGCCCGCCGCTCCCGTGACGACCTCCTACTACTGGGACAATCGCTACTACGATACAACAGAGCTGGAGCTGGGCTTCGCCTAAGGCGACGCTGCTGGTTGGGCCTCCCAACCCCTGTCAAACTTTTGCAGCCATCTCGGACTATCTTGGACGCTCCAATCCGTCGCCGCTCCCCCCCGTCCAGACCAAAGGGGAGGGGGCAGGGATGGGAGGGGAGAGACCAAGACAGTTCTCTCAGGCGCACGCTGCCCGCCCCAACGCACAGGGAGTACCCCACTCTCGGTGAATTCAGCGGTCGTTTTGGGATGGACAGCTACTGGGAACCAATTCGGACACCACTTGCGGGGCGCAGGGGTGGGATGCGCCACGCGTGTAAAACGCGCCGCGCGTATCAGCCGCCCCTGAGGCTCAAGCGTGCCAGGCACTCTTGGTGCGCCCGGTGTGCCACGTGTTCTACATGTGCCAAGTGTGCGCGCAGTGTGCCCTATGCTCCAGCCGCGTCAAATGCGCAACGTCCGGGGCACCCGCAGAGTGTGCCAGCTGCGCCCCCGCACATCAGGAAACATTTCGGCATCCACCATCTCTGCTGAAAACCAGTGCGCAATCGCGGCGGAGAAGAGGATGCCTCTCAGGCTCGCCGCCTCTGACTTTCACAATGGACATGACATTCTTACGCGATCATTTCCCGCCTGCAGGCTACGACTTGGGGTTCTCCCCAAGCAGAGGTGCTTTCCCGTAGCCAGATCCTTCAGCAATTTCGCTGGGCTGACTATGGCGGCCCGCCCGCTTGTAGGCCTGGAGGCTTACCCAGTGATCCTCCTCCCCCTCCTCGTCGTCGTCGTCCTCTTCCGCCTCCTCCTCCTCCTCCTCCTCCTCCTCCTCCTCCTACTCCCCCTAATCCTCCTCCTCCCTCTTCCGCATATGTTTCGCAGTTTTCCTTCCGTTCTGCAGTCCCGTCTTCTCAATTCGGACCGCCGCGGCCCAAATGATGCAGCCAGACGTAAAATTTTGGATCCCCCTTCCCTTCTCTTTCGCGTCGGTGGCGTAGGTGGCGAATCTCAGGCTCACTGCGCCACCTTCTGCCCAGGCTCACCAGCACTGAGGATTGAACACGCCCAGTGCGAAGCCGCACGCTGCATCATCACTCCCCCTCTTTTTCCTCTTCTCTCCCCCTCCTCCACCCCTGCCCCCCCCCTCCCGCCACCCTCCTCTCCCCTCTCTCCTCTTCCCCCCCTCCCCTTCACCCCCTCCTCCCCTGAGCAGGCCGCGAAAGACCCCGACGCGGAGAACAACAACGCCGGCGTCGTCGCGGTGGCGCGCGCTCGGCCGAACCCCCCTTTGGGAGCAGCCGCTCCCCGACCCCCGCTGCTGGTCCGAACCCTGGGTTTTCAGGGCAGGAGGAGGTCGTTTTTTTTCCTGATGTGGATTCCGGCTTCGCGCCGGAGTCGCCCTGGATTGCAACCGATTGCATTCTGCCCCGTGTGGTTACTGTGCAGCATTCTCCTGAGGGATCAAACGGTTTTTCTGTTAAGGCATATCTGGACCAGGTTTATTCTGGAGAATAGCGGTGCCCAAGCCCTTTTCAAGGGAACTGTTTCCCCCCGCTGAGCTGGTTCCCCCGTCTTTCGGTTCCCTTCGCTTTCATACCCCCCCTTCCGTCCATCCGCTCAGAGGCGGCGGAATTGTGTGGCTGGCCTCGGGAACGCCAGCGGCCCCCAAATCGTTGTGGGAAATCTTGGAAGAATTGCATGGCAAATGTTTGACGCTTCGCGTAACCCAACCAGACAGCGGGATGAGGAGGGGGCGGGCAGGGGGACCATGCCGGCCCCCGGAGAAAGGACCTCGGTCAACGGTGACCAGGCACAGTGCCTGGCGCAGAGTATGCTCCTGGAGCACAGGGTAGATCGACAACCAGGACCCTGGATCTCTAGAGCCCTGTGGCTCTGCCTGGCACCACACTACTTTCCCCTCCTCAGACCAGTGCTGACTGTGCGGGCAGTGGACTCCCGACCCTACGACGTTCTATATCGCTGGATGGTTAGGAACGAAATACATACGCCGGAAGACTTGGTGGCCCGCCTCCGGGGAGACTTCCCGGATGCCGATCTAGCCCCATACTCCGAACTCACCAACTTACAAATCCAGGCCCTCATATGCCATCTCAGTGACGGAGCTAGTCTGACGCACCTCGATGCTAGTGTGTCCGCCAGGGCCCTCATTGGGAGCCTGGAGGACGGCCTATCCCAACTCGGCCCCCCCCTGGAGACAACGCCAGGTTTCCCCCGGAAAGCATGGACGCCGTGGACGTTCCTCCTTGGGACCTGGAAGTTGATACCCCACTATGCATGATCTGCAGCGAAGACATCTTAGGTTTCGCGGAAGCCTTGGTGCCTTGCGGCCACTTGTACCACGCCGAATGCCTTAGACAGTGGAGGGTTAGCCAACCCGCGCAGGCCCACTCCCACGGAAAATGCTTCCCAGTGAACTGTCCGATTTGCCGCTCCAATGATAGGGGTAGCGTCACCGTAAGGTTGCCAGGACGAATCCGAGACGCCGACGCTGCCGAGGTGGCGGTACCACCAGACCTCCTGCAACTCCGCGATGGGACCTTACCCCCGCTGCAGCCCTTCCTGAGCCTGCAAGAGTTAGCCGAGGCATTCAGGCACTTGGCCCCAGATCTGGACTGCCTCAGAGCACAAGCACTCTCCATCCGACGGCCCCACACATACGTCTCGCTCTCAGACATGCGCAGGATCCACGCGCACGTTACGGAAAGGAAAACTGCGCAGGAGGTACGTCATGCCCCGATGGAGGTGGACGGAACCCCACCTGACGGGGGAAGCGGTGGAAGCGGCATGGACCCCGATGACACTCATGACAGCTCGCAGAGCCTTGGAACCCTGCCTCCACAGCGACTCCTTGGTCCCACCAACAGGGCAGATAGGATACGGCAAGCCCCGCGGATCACTTTCGGAAGATGGGCCCTTCTTCTGGGACGGAACCCCCCAGAGGACGAACCCAGGAAGAGAGGGCCCGGGCGGTTCCCGGTGGGACTGCTTACCGCGGCCGTCAGAGACATCGCAGCCGATCTGGTAATTTCCAGAAGCACGTACCTCGGCGAACGTGTAGCGGATGAGACTGGAGTCACTTTCGCCCTTGCAGGCCCAGACGCCTGGGAGCATATCAAAGCAGTAGTCACGGAGCGCAGGAACCAGCCTCAGGGGAACGCCGCCCCAACAATCCTTGTGGTAGACGCCGTCGCTCAGCAGATGGACGCCGCCCTGACGGCAGCTTCCGTTGCGGGTAGCCCATGCTGTCTCGTCGCCCTGGCCACCGAGGGTGTTCCATCCCCTGGAGGACCGGATCCGGTCGAGCTCGCGGCAGTGGCAAACGCGCAGTGGGGATACCGAGCCGCCAGCAGAATTACCCACCTCGCCCCGATCGGGCACCCCTACCGAACTGGCAAGCCCAGCCCACCAATGCAGCAGCTCTTTGCCGCTCAATTCGACCTAGCGGGCAGGACACTGCGCACGATTCTACCCCCGTCAATAGTCGTGCACTGGGGAGGGAGGAGCGGGGATACCTCTGACGCACTACACATCCTAACCCCTGAAGTTGGCAACGACGGTGTCGTCGCGCAGATCATGAGGTGGAAGAACGAGCTAGGACGATCCCACAACGGAGCGATCGCAGCTGACTGGGTCATCACGAGAGTGCAACTCCCCCGGGACGAACTATTACGATACCAGGGACTCGAGATTCTCTTCCATCACGTTGTTCGCTGCAGAGCAGCGAGACCCAGGAGCGGTGAAGACGGCATACGTGCCCCCCTGGATAACTTGCAGGCGGCAGCCCAAACCACCACACTGGCCCACCAGACGGCATGCGCCTGGAGAACCCACGAGACAAGTGATTATGTGCACATCCCTGTGCACCCCAGGGCGATCTGCATAGCCCACTCCGTTGCCTCCGCAACAGCCGGAGCCATGGGGCGCAGAGTGGGAATTTGCGGGACGGGGCTTCTTCTGATCTCCACTCCAGAAAGGATCGCCGCCCCCGTCTTGAGACACCTCCGGGACGAGCTTCCGCGTGTCTTTGGAGACGGCTCCTCCTCCACGGCGCTAGGACCTCGCCGCGTCCTCCTGGAAGGGCCCTGGGATGGGGGGCCCTCATTCGTGCGCCTTTCCGACCCCGAGGACGGCTTCCACCTGCGGTGGAACCTTGCGGACATGGGACAAACACGGCCGGAGGACGCCCTGCAAGCCGTAGAGGCCACCACCGGTCCTGGCACGGTCGAGCAGGTCTCCACCGTGCACGCCTGGTTCCCAGATGTCTCTGACTACATATACATGGCGCAAGTCCGCATACGCCTAGCTGCGGCCGACGCCATGGCGGCAGCCTCTGTGGGCACCAGTTGCATAGTGATCGGAGCCCAGACCGTCAGGATCTTCCCTGCCATACCCAGCAGGGACCCCATGCACAGAGCAGCGGCGGCACCCAGGGAGCTACAGGAACACGTGGATGCACTGGCCTGCATCTCGGTCCGACAAGCCCCCAGACGAGCCGTTCAACCCCAAGTCCTCGAGATCACCACGTTCGACAGGCACGGGGCGCAGCTCGGAGAAATTCGCCCGCGCAGCATGCGCCCGGACGCCTGGCTCCCTGGACGCAACGCACTTCGGCTCTTCTCCGCCTCGGTTGGCTCGGCGAATGCCCAGTTACTAACCCGGCTTTGGCCGCTCCCGGATGGCCCTGGCGGCGCCTCGCACCCAGCCAACACCAGAGCTGCCCCAGCTATCATCACAGGGGACTGGCTCCGGGAGAACGCTAGGGCGATGAGCAGGAGTGCGCCCAACACGGTACCTAGCGTGTCTCAGGAGAGTGGCCTACGAGACTACGAGACTGTCCTGCAGCCTGGAGAATACCTGCTCGCTGCAATAGCAGCCGGTGGAGCCGCGGAGGTCACCGCGAGCGGTGAATCCGGTTTCCTCTTCACGTCGGTCCCCGCCTGGGTGGCGATGCTCCTCCCCGCGGACGCGGACATCAGGGCAGCCACGAGAGGTGCGGACAGACCACAGGCCAGACTCAAACTACAGCTCGCCGCGGGCCCCATTCACGTTGCGCGCCTGGACTCCGCCCCTGCATCCACACCAACTCCCGCTTCTGTGGGGCTGAGGGTTAATGCTCCTTCCCAGCAGCCACTTCCTAGACGCACCTCCGCATCCCTCAACCCACTCCCTGGGCCCGCCAGGCCCACGCACTTTCCAGAGCTCGCCGAGGTACTAGCGAGTACATGCAGGCCGCCCCTGGCCGAGCTGGTGAGAGCCGACGAAGATGCAGTCCGCATCGCGCGGGGCATGTTGGGTAGATACGCAGCCGTGGTCCCAGAGCAAGCGGCCCACGACATGGCGCGCGGTGTCCAGCGCCGGATCGGTCTCGAAATCCGCAGGCAACTCGAGGGTCGGCCCATGCAAAGGTACAGTTGGGACATGTTCGCCGCAATCTGGATCCTGCAGCTGGCCAACCCGGGGAGCCTGGACCGCGACCACGTCTGGCAACTCATCCGAGAGCTTGATATCCGAGAAGAGGTCACGAGACAGCTCCCCTTCACGCAATGGTTTGCGCCGGAACCTGACGACACCGACTCAGCCCACCAGCCCCGGCTCGAAGTCCCTGGTTCCAGAGGCGCAGACGTCGACGCCACTACCTCGCTATCTGTCCCTGCAAGCGTCGCCAGTGCCCTGGGCGCCCTGATCAACAGGCTGTCTAACCTTCACTGGGAGGAGCGGCAGCGCCACGATCCTGGAAGAGTCACCCGTGGACGGAGAGGAG